TAAAGCCCACGGAATGTAGTAATAAAGCCCACGGAATGTAGTAATAAAGCCCACGCAATTATCGAGAAACCTGGACAGATTCTATGCAGTGTCGTCTTCAAACATATACTTTGCTATGACATCACAACAACCCTTCATCCCCCCTAGTCATCAACTGTGATATCCATTATCCATGTTTAACAAATACAAGCAAGTCAAAGACACCGAGTCCCCAAAAAACATATGGAAAGAAAAGTCAGAAAGAAACAAGTCTAAGAAGAAAGTCACTCTCACATTTAATCATTCGATGGAATAAATAGAGTGTAATGCCACAAAGAGAAGAACTGAATAATGCGCTCCGCCATCGTATCCCCATACCATCCACCCCGACACTCCTTAGATTCGCCAATTCCATCATTAGAGCTAGCCAGACTAGACATGTTGACTTGTTACGTTCAATACCTGCATAGTTCAAGCTACCCGCACATGCCATCAGTGCCATAAGCCGACTTCCTTCCCTTCCCAACCTCCCCCCACACATCACCCCGGGAATCCAGCCTAGAAGTCCGTCTTCCCACCCATGACCTTGGCAGCATTGACTGCGTTCATCTTAGCAGCCCAACCCTGTGCCGGCACAATCTTGCGCACAGTCCTCACTTCATCCGACGCATAACCGGGAATACGAATATTATAGTTGCGCTCGAGGATGACCTGAATATCGCGGATGTCAAGTTGAGGCGAGTCACGGAGTTTAGACAACTTGCAAGCGTTGCTAATGAGATTGTCGACGAAGTCGTCTGCGAGTTGGAGGACAGCCTGGAAAAGAGGAAATGTATGGTTAGAAAAAGAGCGGCGAATTGGATGATTAGGACTGGAGAAACTTACTTCTTCGGCTTCTGGGGTTAGGGCTTCCTCTGAGCCGCCTGTGACTTGGCGAACGAGCTCGTCTAGCTTGCGCTTGCTGAGCACGCGGTCGCCTTCACCTTCGAGCTGGAAGGGTGGAGGACGCGGGATGACGGGCTGACCCATTGGTCCTGGTGCGCCGTTGGTGGGACCGCCCATGGTTGGTCGAGCCTGGCCCATATGCACAGGTAGCGGTTGAGCCACGTTCAGATGGCGCGGAATAGGCATCTTGGGGTTGTTGAGCTGCTCACGCTCACGGTTGCCAAAGTTGCCGCCTTGTCCGCCTTGCTGCATAGGTGTATTTGTGCGCTGAGGGTCGGTGTACGATCGGTTCGCGGCGCTCACAGCGGCTTGGTGAGACAGCGGTACTGGCGGACCTGGCGCGTTCGATGTGGCCGATTGGGGATGCGGCGAGTGGCTCTGCTGGTGTTGATTGGCTTGCATGGGATTGATCTGAGGGCGCTGTTGCTGGTGAAAGTTCTGCTGCTGTTGTCCTTGTGCAAACTGCGGCATCTGGTTGGCAGGCATCGTTTGCGAGTGAGGCGCTGGCGGGGGTCGTGTTTGTGCTTGTTGTTGTTGCTGTTGCTGTAGTTGCTGCTGCTGCTGCTGTTGCTGTTGCTGCTGCGGGAGTGAAGGTGGGAGTTGCTGATTGTGTTGTTGAGGTGGCGCCTGCTGTTGGTTTCCAATGTTGAATTGAGGTTGCGGTGCAAGTCCGCCTTCAATCTTGATTTGCGGCTCCTCTTTCACTTGCGGTTGCCCAGGCTGCGACATCTGCCTTTGGAGTGGTTGCGGTTGTTGCTGCTGCGGCGTTTGCTGCTGTTGCTGTGGTGGTGATTGGGCAGAATTCGGGCCTTGAGGTTGCGCCTGTCCCTGGCCTCCGGCTTCACGCTCCTCCTTCCATGACTTCTGCATGCTCCTAAACTTTTCAATCTGGCTCGCCATAGTAGCATGCTCCTTCTCGAACTTAGCCCTCATCAAAAGCAGTTCCTGGGGTATCTCTTCTCCTTTGGCCTGCCGGTCACTCAGCTGTTGGAGAAGCTTGCGCCTGTTATCGCCCAAAGAGGCCTGCTTAGCCAGCATGTTGAGATAGCCAGTCCTGTATTCTTTTATCTTGGCCTCGTACTCGGGTGTCCCGGGCGCAGGTCCATTCATGGGCCCCTGCATGGGGAATTCCTGAACGTGCTTGATGATGGCAGGATCGACTTGGCCGCGGCCTGGGTTCTGGCCTTGGGCAGGAGGCTGTTGTCCTTGGTTTTGTTGGTTAGCCGGTCCTGCGACGCCATCAGCACCTCTGTTAAGAGCCTGTGCGCCTTCCTGCTTAGCAGCGTTCTGATTCTGTTGGCCCGTCGCATTCGATTGGCCGGCCTGTCCTTGGTTTTGGTTTCGCTGTTGTTGCTGTGCTTTCATCTTGGCGCGGAATGAACGTTCGCGCGTGATGAATTTCTGCGACCATTCTGCCAGCTTCTGGCGTGCATTGGTGTTCTCGGGGCTGCCTTGCTGGTGTTGGTTGCAGATGGTCCAAAAGTTCTGCATAATCAAGCGGTACTTTTGCTTCTCGTCATCGGGAAGGCACTGCAGCTTGAGTATATCGTCGGGTCGTAGCAGCTGTTGGGCTTGCTGGCCGCCGCTGGCCTGCTGTGGCTGCGAATCGGCCATGGTGACGGCTGCAGGCTGCGGGTTTCCGAGCCGTGCGACTTAGGGTATTCGGCCTATATGCGAAATTTGGCAAATATATGGTGGCCTTCGAGTCGCGTACTTGGTATAATCGAAGCAAGAGGCGTGCAGGGGCGGAGGGTTCCGCGCGTGAGGTGTGATGAGCAGAAGGATGAGGTTTGGACGGGCCAAGCCTTCTACAACCCTCAAAGGTCGCGTTCGTTCCGGGTACCCAGCACGTGCACGCGTCCTCCAACCAAACATTGAAGCCACTCTGTTTGCCCGAAGCCCGGAAATCGGAATAATGCCAACAGTGACAAGATAAAAAATTGAGATTATCTTTTAATTGTCACCATTGTGCTGCTGGACAGCTTAGCCAACACATATTGGATAAGTAAGAGACAAGTCCCCTCCGGTCCTCTCATATACCCTGGAATCCGCTGTCACACAGTGGAATGGAAGAAGTGATATAATGATTTAAAGACAGGCTATACTGCGCCTGTTCCTATATCTATCTATTGTTAATCACAGTCATTCATCTCCCCTCCGAGCTCGTCTTTGCCGCCTTTGCCTTTGCCAGTGCCCGCTCTCTGGTATTCCTGACCTCCCACTCAAACTCTTTGAGTGCTCTGATCTCACTACCAACAAACAAGAAGCCCATCAATCCATCAATGACGCCTACGCTGAGCCCGACAGTGCTCAACAGCATCAGTATGAAGGCAACGTAGTTCCTCGGTGCCCACCATACGCCGATGAGACACCCGATGGAAACGGATAGCTGGTAGAAGAAGTGGCCTATGCGTAGCTTACGCTGTATACGTTCCCGAACTTGGTACTTGAGTGTCGTCGCCAAAATCTCGTCGTAGATCTCAATGGGCAGGTAGCGTTCAGGTAGTGCCGAAGGAGGCAGTTCAACGGCGGAGGGCGCAACAACACTCCTCGTCAAGGTTGCCTCCACGGAGAAATGATCGCTGAGCGAGCAGTGTAGCGTGGGATGGCGCATCTCCATACCTACGTTTGCTTCCTTGAGCTCCCACTCTGCAGTCTCCTCCTTTGTCTCTGGATTGTGGTATCTTCCGCTGCTAAAGAAGACATAATCAAGTCGCTTCGCGTTCGGGTCTGGCACGGCAGGATCTATTTGCACATTCTCACCTTTGGTAAGACGCTTCTGCTGTTGCTTGTTCCACCGCCACGAGTTCAGTTCGCTATCGCACGTCGCTCCATTTACGGTCATGTTGAACTGCGCAGATGGCATCGGTACGCCGCGTAATTGTTCGACTTTATCCTTGGCGGCGCCAATCGAGGACTCGGGGTGGAGTATGCGCCATACGTCTCGGACAGGTGAATGCGTTTCGATGATGCGGTGCGCGAGAGATAGGGGCACCATGTTGAAGTCGCCCATGCCAATGACGAGATGTCCCCGCTCGGCTGCTCCTCGCATAAGCTTGGTAATCTCCCATGCTTGTGCTGTCCGGTGACATATGTAGGAGTCGTGCGGTTCTGCTTCGTATGGGGCGTGGAGCTATCCAGTCAGCACGGAACCATATAGGGGAGGAGGAACATACATGTGTGCAAAACACTTCAGCAATATCTCTCGGCGAAGGCCCCATTTGTATCCTCGCGCATGCGACGCCCTTACCTACAAACCAATCTCCACGGTAGAATGCAGCAGGCCGGCCATTTAGTGGATACCGCACCATGTTGCTTTCGATAATTGGCCATCGTGATAGTATAACAAGCCCACCGCCGAAGATTCCGCTGTGGTAGAACTTTCCGTAGGGCAGTATGTGTTGTGTCTTTTCCCGAATAACATTGTAGTCTTGTTGTGTCCAACATTCCTGCAAGCCGACAATGTCTGGCCGGGGGCTTGCAGCGGCGATCTGAACTCCAATTTCTGTGAGACGTTCGTTGCGGAGGGTAGAGATGAACTTGAGACCCCAGCAATTGAGAGATATGACCCTCAAACTAGAGGGAGATTGAGAGGCCTCTAAAACCATTGTGAGAGTTAATTCAAGATCGAGTGAATACGTAGAGTAGGGATGATGCAACTAGGGAAATAGTACCTGGGATGCTACAGGGGTGCTCTCACCGCCTGCACGCTAACTTTCGTATTGCCGATTCGTCGCGTTTTCCTGGTGCATTACGCAAACACGATACATCCCTACATTGAATTATGGACGACATACATATGGACGACATACAACCCACCTCTCCCAAACGACGACGCGACGACGATGACGAATACGATGATGAACGACCACACAAACGATCAGCATCTCGTAGCCCTCTCAATGTGTCCCCAAGTTATAGAATAGCGGAACGGCCCGCGCGCCGGTACAGCAGAGACGACAGCGAGGATGGCCGACGGGACTATGAAGAAAGACGACGCTCCTACTCAAGATCAAGGTCAAGATCACGTTCACGTCGCTCAAGCTCCCCGCCCTCTTCCCGGCGACATCAACACAAGAAACCCACTTCGCTTCATTATGCACCTACGCTCATTTTGCGCGGCCATAAGAAGGCCGTCTCCTGCATCAAGTTCTCCCCCGACGGACGTTACATCGCCTCTGCATCCGCCGATTGCACAATCAAGATATGGGATGCCATAACAGGCGCTCTCGAACACACGCTCGAAGGCCACCTCGCCGGAATCAGCACAATATCCTGGTCTCCCGACTCGAAGATCTTGGCGAGCGGCTCAGACGACAAGAGCATACGGCTCTGGGATCCACATACCGGGCTCGCACATCCAACGCCATTCATTGGACACCATAATTATGTCTACAGCATAGCCTTCAGTCCCAAGGGCAATATGCTTGTCTCTGGGTCCTACGATGAAGCAGTCTACCTTTGGGACGTACGCGCCGCTAGAGTAATGCGCTCCCTACCCGCTCACAGCGACCCAGTCGGTGGCGTCGACTTTGTCCGCGACGGCACCTTGATTGTTTCCTGCTCACACGACGGCCTAATCCGTGTCTGGGACACAGCCACAGGCCAATGTCTACGCACCCTCGTCCACGAAGACAATGCCTCCGTCTCCTCGGTCGTCTTTAGTCCCAACGGAAAGTACGTCTTGGCCTGGACCTTAGACTCCTGCATGCGGCTATGGAACTACATTGATGGAAAGGGCAAATGCGTCAAGACATATCAAGGACATGTGAACAAGAGCTACTCACTGTCCGGTGCTTTTGGCACGTATGGCGATGTTCCAGGACAGAAGCACGCTTTCATAGCGTCGGGAAGTGAGGACAATCAGGTCGTGATATGGGATGTGAGTAGCAAGAACATCCTACAACGGCTCGAGGGGCATACCGAAGCTGTCCTGAGCGTAGACACGCACCCGACCGAGCGCTTGATTGCCAGTGCGGGCTTGGATCGCACAGTCAGGCTGTGGAGACCGAAAGAGCCCAAGGTAAACGGGGAGGAGAATGGACATGAAAGCGAAGTCCCAAACGGCATCGCGGAAGGGGAAACCAATGGCTATGATGCTGAAACTCTTCCGCCTAACCCTTTTGCTGAAGACTAGAGGTCTCACGGTGAGAGGACATCAGAGAGACTAGATGTCTCGCTGGTAGAGAGGACATCAGATGTGATGTAGTTTTAGATACCCAGCGTTAGCATCTTATTGTTTTTCTCGCTTTGATAGTGTATCGCTATATGCCAGTATTGAATGAAACCCAATGGCATGCCCTTTTTGGTATACCCCAACTCCGTCATGCTCGTGTAAAAGTATCCCCAAACGCCATCGTAAATGCAATATCCCGTTTCTCCTATCCTTTAGCCTAGCTGAAATGTATGCCCTCTTGGTTAAACGCGTACAGCAACTTCAAAAAGTCACCTTCGTCACATAACCTTGCCCGCTTATCCGCCAACTGCGTATCATCCTCAAGCACCTTCCTCACTTTCTCCCTCACCAGCTCACTAACCCTACCCTTCCTCTTCCTATTTACTCCATTCTTACTCTTGCTCTTCTCCGCCTGCAACTGCTTGAAGAAGTCAGGCAACTCATCATCTGGGTCATCTGGATCCGAGAAGCCATTGAACTCGTCATCCACCTCCATAGTCTCCGGCTCCACCATCTCACTCGGATCAAGCGGCGTATCGTCAACCGGGATATCATTCTGCGCGCAAAACAACCGGTAGTTACTCGCCAGGAGTTCCAACACAGCCGCCGTACCCAAAAACGACGCACGAAGCGTCCTGTTCTTACGCACAAAGCAGATGCGTAACAAGCCATCCCACTCTTCATATGCTATCTGCGGCCTTGGATTCTTGGGCTCGATGCGCACGACGTTCGATTCGACCTGAGGAGGCGGATTGAAGTTGTTACGACCGACTTTCATGACGTGGCTGACTTTGGACCACATCTGCACGTTTACAGAGAGTCTGGAGTAGAGTTTTTCGCCGGGGCGTGCGAAGAGGCGCATGGCGAATTCGCGCTGGAACATGAGTATGCAGCAGCGCGGGGGGTGTTGCAGAGCGAGGAGCTTGAAGACCAGAGGCGAACTGATTTGGTACGGCGTATTGCTTATGCAGACGTCGAAGCGTGGGAGTTCGGCTTTTATCACGTCGCCTAGGCGGATTGTGAGACGCTTTTCTTCTGGGCTGCCTTGCACTCGCTTTGTGAGTTCGGCCGCCATTCGAGGGTCCATTTCCACGGCTGTGACTTGCTTCGCTGCTTTGAGGATCAATACTGTCAAGTTGCCGGTTCCTGGTCCGACTTCAAGGACGTGGTCGCTTTGCTTGAGGTGCGCTTTTTGCACAATGGCGGTTGCGACACCAGGGTTTTTAAGGATATGTTGACCGAGGTCTTTGTCCATCTTGAAGATTGAGTGTGCGGCTGAGGCTTTGGCAGACGTCGGGCGTGCGTAAGGCGAGGCATCTTTATCGGCGCCTTTGGTGCGCTTTTGCTTTGCTTTTGGCATCGTGCGAGGATGGGGAGCTTATGGGCTCTGGTGTAGTAAAGTCAGGAGTCCGGATGGGTGTCAGGAGAGAAGGCTATTTTCGGAGAAGTTTGAATGGGCTGGATACGCAATTGTTGTGGCGTGCGAAGGTGTTGTGAAGTTGCGCCTGGTTCGCGCAGGCTGTAGGATGTGGGGAATAATTTTTTGGTGTTGCGGATTTATCGCGGGGACATGTGAGCTCGCGACTTCGCGTCCAGCGCTACTGTAAATGACGTCCTTGCGACCTTCATCATACATCCTCCTTCACCGTTCGATTTCTTCCAGTTTGCTGTATGGGCCGACCACTTGTTAATATTTCTCTTCATAGTTTGCTTTTGTCGCTCAGTCGTTCTTTTTTGGATGTTACATATCCTCGTTTCTCCCTGATACATTTGCCATCGACAACGCGTTCCCATTCCACACTGAACAGTAGGAGCAAACGCCCGCACCGTCACCGCCCTCATACAACCACATCATGCTCCACTGCCCCTGATCCCTCAGTTACCGCGCAATTGTACCAGAACATTACCTCGTCGTGCCTGGCCTCACCAGTCTGCACGTCATCGACAAACCCCGCTAAGACGAGCACCTCGACTATCTTTCACTTCATAGTACCCCACCCAACTGAAGCACACCGCGGATACCCGTGTGCAAACTCTCTTGTTGCCTATATAAGCGGTCCCTCGCCTCGATTCCTCCGTCACCTTTCCACACGATTCCGTACGCCATCATCGACCTCGCCCGCAAACTCGCCAACCAACGACACACTGACTATGCACACGATGGCCAAGAAGCTCTCTAGCTCTCGCGCAGCTATGTCTTCGGACAACACCACATCGGCTCCGGTTGCTGAGACAGCGCCGGAGCCAAGCACGGGCGGCGGCAGGAAGCGCAAGGCGGGCGCAAAGCCCGCCGTGCAAGACAAGAAGGTCAAGGTGGAAGAGACCTCGTCTCTCTCAACAACTGCGCGTCCAAAGCGTGCCGCAGCCAAGAAACCAGCTGTTGAGGAGGACGAGGTCGCAGACGAAGTCGTCGAAGACAAAGTCAAGGCCAAGGCAAAGACCACTAGGGCGAAGAAGGCCTCTTCCACCGCGACGAAACATGCGAAGATCCTGCCGCCGCTTGAGCAACGCACGCAGAACACCAAGCACCGCATTGGCGCTCATGTCAGCATCGCAGGTGGTAAGCATCATCTTAGCCCGATTAATCTATTGTATGGAACCCTGGCTAACATGGTGTCGACAATGGCAAATTAGGCGTACACAATGCCATCATCAACACCATATACATCGGGTAAGTCCTCTAACACTCCCTCTAGTGGCCAAAACTGACCTTACCAGTGCCAACGCCTTTGCCATGTTCATGAAAAATCAGCGCAAGTGGGAGTCAAAAGACATCGACCAAGAGCACGTCGATTTCTTTGTCAAGTGGTGCGAAGATCACAAGATCAATGCTGCAGAGTGTTGCCTGCCACATGGTTCATATCTCGTCAACCTAGCACACCCTGACCCAGCACACAAGAAGCAATCATATGACTCCTTCCTCAACGACTTGTCTCGCTGCCACAGGCTAGGCATCCGACTCTACAACTTTCACCCCGGAAACTCCAACGCTACAACTCGCGAGGAGGGGATCATCACCATCTCAGAAAACATCAACCAAGCTCATGCAGATCCGGCGTCTGGCAAGGTCGTGACCGTTTTGGAAACCATGGCGAGCCTAGGTAACACCATCGGTGGTAACTTTACAGACATCGCTGCCATCATCAGGCTTGTCAATGACAAGAGCCGCGTTGGAGTTTGCCTGGACACGTGCCACGTATTCGCAGCTGGTTACGACTTGCGCACCCCAGAGGCCTACGCGAAGACAATAGACAAGTTCGACAAGGAGATCGGCCTCGAGTACCTCAAGGCCTTCCATGTCAACGACAGTAAGGCTCCATTCTCCAGCCACCGCGATGTCCACGCCCGCATCGGCACCGGTTATTTGGGTCTTCAGGCTTTCCACAACCTGATGAACGACGAGCGCTTCCATGGTCTCCCCATGGTCCTCGAGACACCCTGTGACACACTGGATGCTGATGGCAAGAAAGTGGAGGACAAGGGCAGCTGGGCACGAGAGATAAAGATGCTCGAGAGCCTCGTGGGTATGGACATTGAATCAGATGAGTTTAAGGCGCTCGATACACGTCTTCAGCAGGAAGGCGCGACTGAGCGCGAGCGCATTGGAGATCAGGTCAACAGGAAAGCTATCAAGGACGCCAAGCCCAAGAGAGCCACCAAGAAGGCAAGCAAGAAGAAGGTGGAGAGCGAGGAAGATGGCGATGAGGAATAAGGGTTCAGCGGCAGGGCAACGCGGTTCAAGCGGGTGTCGGTTCATTCTGGTATCTCTTTCTTTGCCGAAGATTTCGGCATCTTTTCTTCCTGCAGTTCTTAGTACGGCACGGCATTCGGCTTTGCATACGGGCCTTGCATATGATACCCCACGTCCATCATCTGAGAGGCATCACCTGTAGACATATTCATGGGAGCTATATGCCTCCGGTCCAATCACAAAAGTTTAGCTATAAACAATGCAGTATCTATTTGATGACAAAGTGCGCTAACAATCGGGCTTGAGAATAAGGTGGACGGATTCCGCCTTGTACTAGCTTCACCCAGCGATGGTGTTTGCAGGCTTGCAGGCTAACAGGGGCTAGATGCCGTATATGGGAAATGGTATTGAGAGATGACATGGGAAATAACATTTCCAGCAAGCGGTAGGCTTCCGCCATATCCGCAGCTATGATCCATTTGGGTCTAGAAGACGTAGGTGGCTCATCAAGAAACCAGTCATCGTCCATGTTTCAATCAGCCCTAGGAGATAGTCAAGGCTGCATCCTCATACCGTTGGAGCTACAGCCGTAGAGTTTCGGGGCTGTACAGTAGTTGATAGCGTACAGAATGCTAAAATCCGGCCAACAAACCACTCATTTGTAATTCCAAATGTCTCGGAGTAAGCGGTGAGCAGAGCAGCGTCTGCCACCGTGTCGAGTTTAATGCTTCGTGTGACTGTATGACTGTTCATGTGTGGAGGAAAATACAGTGAAAATACACGAGAATATCGCTTGCGCTCAATGTCGCATGCTCAAAACTGCAACATCAGAAGGGAACAGTAAGCATACGGAGTCAGCGCTGCTGTCGACTTATGGGAGACACGATGGATATTGGGCGTTGGTAGACGGTTTGACGCATCTCTAGGGAAGCGGCGCCTCGCGTTATTTGTAGCTTGGCAGTCCCTTGTCACCCTTTCTGCCTTTCCAAATCGCTCTTACACACACGTTGCATATACGATCTGACGGCATATGCAACATACATAGAAAGCAAGGCGGCTTCTGTTTGGAGCGTAAACACCTTCCGAGAAATACTATTACCATGTCGACCTCATATGGGGCTCTGACCAATCGTCTACACCACATACGTGCGCACACATTAGCCTGATTCGGTTGTATGCCGCGAACACGTGAGTTGACGAGATTCACAGGGAGCCAGACGCCCACCGCCGGTCTGGCGGCGCCAGGGACAAGTTTCTCTCGGCCTAAGCCTTGTCCGCAGCCACGTTATGGGATCCTACCCAAGGAGCGTAGCGCAGGCGGGAATCCTACATACTTCACACATGGCAACGTACAACAAAATGTTACATAGCAACTGACGTACGTAAAAAGTGAAGGCTTTGACGTCAGCTCCTTATGGTGTGCCTGTTTCCACAATTTCTACCCAACATATACCACATCGTCGATCTTGCGTAGAACAACCTTCAGATAAGTGCGGTACCATCGAAGTATGGTCGGTGTCCCAAAGAGTACTGGGTGCTTCATTTGCCGGAAACGGAAAATTAGTGAGTACACCGCCTCTGATTCTCGTGTGAACATATCCTAACTGTTAGAAGAGTGCGGTAAGGCTAGCTCCACATAATCGGAACGACTCGAACGTCCTGACTAATGACGAACAAGACGAAACTTGGCCAAACTGCTTGAACTGCCAAAAGAACGGCAAGTCCTGCCCGGGTCCTCCAGCGCGACACACTTTCAGAGACCTCGGGCCCAGATTGAATGCTGGCGCCCCGAATGCCGTCGTAGAAGACGTCACCACACCACCTGGTAAGCCACCTTCAGGTATAGGCAACTTGGTACTGACTCAAGTGGCAGATCAACGAGATAGACAACTAACACAACTGAATGAGAAATTCGCTGAAAATGGGTCGGTCGTTCACAAGTTCAGGATCTCACACGGGGCGGCAGTGCCGCGCAAAAAATCCCCAAGAGCAACATCAGCAAGCTTGAGTCCACCGAGATCCCCTTTCCTGAGGTATCCAACGCCCTCGCAGCATCATCAACTGGCTCGCGCCTTGATAGCAGCAACTACAACTGGCGGTACGGGTCATCGTATGTCCGTATTTGGCCCTTTCATCCAGGAAGTGCCGGCAAGGATCGGCCATAACTCAGCCCTTGACGCAGCCGTAGCCGTACTTGTGAACGTACACACTTCGCTGATCTACAAGAAAACAGCAAACGAAATTGTTTCGCCCGAATTGTACATTCGCGCCATCAAGACACTGCAATCATGCCTCGAAGACCCCCAAGTGGGCATGTCCGCCAACACGCTCTGCGCGTCAGTACTTCTCGGACTAGTCGAGGTGGGTATTTGATGACGTTTCAATCGCGACAACTGCTTATACGAATAGGCATTCGCTGGCCCAAGGACTGGCAACCGGTATCTGACCCACGTAGGTGGCGCAGGTCGATTGATGGAGATACAAGGTCCTGGGCAGTACCGAGACGCGTTCACGAAAGAGATCTTGCGCTTCAATAGAGGTGGCATAGTAAGTACCCACCCATGGGCAACAAGATTTTCGTCATCGTCCATTGCACTCAAGTGGCAACGGAGTGCTTGACTAACATAGTGATAGATTATTACGTGCATATACGAGCGCAAACCGTGTTTCCTTGTTTCCCCTGGATGGCAAGAGATTGCTTTCGACAAGACCGGGCTTAGCTTCGACGACTGCTTGAACACCGACTTGATGCAATACATGGCTGAGTTGCCGGGTATCTTCAACGAACTGAAAGACTTGGGCGACCAACATAAATTCGGGCCTCTGCAATCGACAACTTTCGACATGGGTTCCAGCGGCGAAGTTTTCAGAGAGACGTCCCACACTCCGCCATCCCTTGACTACTCCACTGGATCCTACGATGACGTCGACTTTGCAGACGACCTACAGCCCATCGAGACCTCATACCCGCTCCACACGAATTCATTTACCTGCCCACGGGTCACTGCACGGACACTCCTGCTATGCAAGGTTCAGAACCTCAAGGAGGCACTATGCAATCTGGGTGATCACTTGAATGCGAAGCTCAACAACGGAACCACTGTCACCAAGACCCTGGCAAGAGAAAGAGATAGTCCTCTGCGGACATCTTACCATTTCAAAAACTGGCGCGACATGACTGCATACAACTGTTTCTGGTCCGTCATCATTTTGACCAACAAAGTCCTCATGCGACTGCTTCCGCCATTCGACCCCACAATTTACGACCTACAATCTGAATGTCGATCGATGGCTCTCGAAATATGTAAAACATGGGAGGATGCTTGGGATAGCAGGCCAATAGGCGCATTTCACACGGGCTTGAGCTTCGTTGTCGCATACGAATTCTGCACGCCCGAGATAAAAGAGTGGATAGTAAGAGGCTTGAATTCTCTTCTGGACTATCATCAGGTCGATGCGTTCCGATGGTCGGACGAAGTCATCGCCCACATGTCATCCAAGCTGGCGGGTGAGGGGCCCGATCTTACTTTCCCACATGTCAGAGTCTCCGAAGATGCGCGCTGAACGCGGTATAGCAGAAGGATCCATCAAGGCAACCAGCGCCCTTACGACCACTCGTGCGAGATTCCAACACCAAAGGGCGTATGGAAGCCGTGGCGGATCAAGCATGTCGGTACGCAGCGGAAATATGTCTTACTTGCATGCGGCTACAATATAGGCGTCATGGCCATGTGTGTACCGTGGGGGCGAAGACCACATGGCTTCCATGTTGTGGTATAGAGGCTGACCATTTTCTCCACGTTACGACCAATCCGTCGGGGTAGGGCAAGCCACAGCGCTTATTCTACAAGACCTTCTCCTTCTTGCCCCACCATCTTCACTACAAAGGGCGTGCAAAACATTGTCTGAATTAGGCAACTTGCTTACTGTGGATGTATTACGCATCAACTCTACCACGCTGCCGAGGCGGTCTCGCCCCACCATCAGGCGGACAGGCGGCCCGGGGCGTAGTCCTTGTGAGGTGAGGTGGGACGCACAATGGATGCAAGATTATTCCAGAAAGGAGAAGATTACGGAGAAAAAGATTTGTAAAGCAAGGTCATCCTCGGCTTTTTTTTCATTCTCGTTCTTTTTTCCTTCTCTCCGTGTTGGATACCTACATATGCCGCGTAATAAAAAATGTTCAACGACTCCAACAAAAAACAAGTTTTCTTCCCGTGCGTGCGTGCGTGCGTTCATGGTAGAAAGCAAGAAAGGGAGAAAAGCAGGAAAAACCCAACGCATGGGTTAAACGACAGAAATAGAAAGAAGGGAAGAAGCAAAAAGCAAAATAGAAGCACTGCCCGTAACAAAGAAAGAATAACACAGCCGTTGGCAGTTATTTTCCCCCTTGCCCAGAGCCACGCCACACTACTACAGCACAGCCTCATGCCATCTCAAGTCCCCACTCAGTTCGAGATTCCACACCTCTTCTTGCACTCTGCACTACCGATGATAGCACCGGTGCCGACAGCGGGGATACCCTTGCCCATATTATCCTTGTCCATGGAAGCATCACCGAAAGCTGCATCGATGATGTCCTGAGGCACCATCCAGAGGCTGGGCAGGATGTTCAGTGTACCACTGTCATCACTGTTGAGGGAGCTGAGAAGGAGGGAGGGTTCGCAATCTATATCGTGTTGGTCAATATGTGTATAACAACCGACTAACCAAGTTTTGACTTGAAGTAAATAGTGAGGGACATTTGTTGAGGGAGAAAGAGCAGAGAAAACAGGGTCAAAACGTACCATTGTTCTGCATCATATGCAGGCTACCCTGGGGAAACAAGGTAACCATCAAGGGCGTCAAATCTACCTTGCGCATAGTAACGCCATTCTCACCAATCATGTACGTCGTCGTGTTTCCCGTAATCGCAGTTACCATGTTAGTGGCGCGCGGGTGCAAGTGCGGCGGCAACATGCCGCACGGCGCCAGTTTGAGCAGAGCGACGCTGGACCCCAGACCCGTGACGGCGGGGAAGGTGGCGGCATCAGCGTTTATGACGGCGCCCGTGGGGCTGTTGAAGTTGGGGTGTTGGTTGAAGTCGTAGTACCAATCTTCGGGGGCGGAGAGAAGGGCGTTGCGGTCATAGGTTGTGGCGGCGTTCTTGAGAGCGGCGTTGAGTTCTGGGTTGAGGGTGCGTGACTTAGAGGCTGCAGAGTTGGCGGCAACGAGGAGGGAGGGGAGGAAGGTAGTGAGGATGATGATGGGGGAGATCATGGTTGTGGTTGGGTTGGTTGGAGTCAAGATGGTAGAGAAGGGAGTGGGAATGAAGGCGAGTTGATCTTGTATGAGATGTTGTTTTGAACGGGGGGAACAGAAGCTCAATATATAGTCAAGCAGTACACGTGTAGTTGACGAGAGAAGTGTGCTGGCAGAGCAAGCGGCTTCGACGCAATGTCCCAAAGAAGCCCACGATAGATCTCAGGAATCGGGGAAAATAAGCGATCGTATCTGCAAGGCGGAGCCGAATTTAAGGCTTCCTGACTTTTTGTGGGGGCGGAGTTGTAGAAAGGTGTGAGTTAATGTATGGAAGTAGCAAGTAGTAGTAAGCGGCGTAGTTGTGGATCTGGATAGTAAGCAAATGAAGATTTATCGAATTTCGATGCCCTTTGATGCAAGCCACGCATCCGATCATGCTTATATAGGTCTGGGCTGCAGGAGAGGCTGAGGCTCAAAGTAGTATAGGAATGAGAAATGGGGTGTGAAGAGGGTTGGGCTGCTGACCGCTCTCCCGTCGTTTGCTCGTCGCAGTTTCAAGCCACTGTTACTCTGGCTCCGTTGAAGGCGTCGTTAGGAAGGGCTCATCGGTCATTGGGGCGGTGTTATCGGGCTCTATTCAATATGCCCCGTTCTTGTGCTGTGACATGTTTTCGACGTGTTCTCGTTGATAATGGGAACCTGGACTTGTACTGTCGCTTCTTAAAGCATCTAGCTATACATACCTCAACAAACAAACGGGAGTATTATTGTGAAATCATTCCAATGCCGAGTGTTCCTGCTCTTACGCATGTACCTAGGTACCTTGGTACTTTTGATCTATTCGCAAACCCGGTCTGCGGATCGACGCGCGCACTCCATACCATGCGAGCATCAGGACCAGACCAGGAATTGGGGACAAGCGAGCAGAGCACAAGCACACTCAAACCAGCCGTGATTGATTGCTGTGTAGTATTCTGCAACGTCCATCGGTCCGTGTCATTGTTCGTGCGAAGATACTTGTAACGAAGAGGGGTCATAAATATGTGATGAAAGTTCCACCTCAACTATTCCAAGTAGATACTCCGAAGAAGATCCCATCTTGTGCCACGGCATGGTGCCTGTGAGTACTGCCTGATGGTCCTATGGTTGCTATCGATTCGAGTGTACCCACGATATGAGATTGTGCAATGACTTCAGTCGTAATCTGTGCTGCCCGCGAGTTTCCAACCTACCGTCAAGCAGCTAGGAGCATTGATAGTTTGGCAGACGCCTTACGTCGTTGCGTCAGGCGCCCCTTAGGTACAGACTGACTAAAAGCGCCACAGTTATACTGAACGAGGCGAAGCATAACAAAGCCTGTTGGTGGAGAGATGTTTATATTCTTAGTGATACTGTTGCACTAAAAGACTGCGCAATTGGTGCCGGCATTGAGTGCCGGCCAAGGGCGGCACAGATGTGCGTGCATCCAGGGCCCAATGGTCACGTTGTCGCCCCGTTTCAGAAGCTTTGCCTTTTTGGGCCACTGTGCATCGGTGTCTCAGGGTTGGTTGGCCAGACGCCAACGCGAGAAGAAAACGTTTGCATTGTCGCGCAATATCCTGTGTGTGTTGGTGCACATATACGTACATGAGGTAAATCGACCTACGCTAAATAAAGGAATTCTTGCGGAGTCGTAGTCGCAGATAAAGTTCTGTTCGGGTTAGTCAATGCGGGCGCAGCCCGGCATTCGTCTTCGAAACGAACGTGACATGGAACTGTTTAGTCCTGATAATTCTAGCCCAGCGTCGCATATACATGAATCATAGGTATTGACAAATGGGATAGTTTGGCGAGTGGAAGTGGCCGGGTTTCGATTATCATCAAATTGTAGTCCAGCTCTGATGGCCTGACAAGCCCGACAATCCGAAGTGGTCTCTGAAATGCAGTGTTCGAGGTTGATGTCCTTTGAAACCGCACTGTAGCCCTGACTGGCCGCCTCCGAGTGGAAGAAAGCAAAACGAAAATGCTCTTTCATCATTCGTTCATTGCAGTGTCTTTATGACCCTTGTCATCCGCACGCATGAGATAAGATATGATGCCCCACAGTCCTCTCATAGCTTCGACACGGTCGTCGACGTTGAATAAGTCAAACCATCTCGTTCTCGATAGCTTCGGGGAGCACCAGTCAGGGTCTGATGGGCTATGTTCAGGGAGTTTTCCTTCGGTGATGTAGTCCAGATAGGCCGGATGTATGCAGAGTTTTAACAGGCTAATGTGGTGGTTCAATGACGAGACCATGAAGACCTGCAGTGACGGATCAGCGCATCTACGTTTTTTAAAACTGTTGTACGGAGCCTTACGTTGTCCCACGCAACACTTCTATCTTTCCCGACAGCTTCGTATGTAACCTTTGGGTCCCAAAGTGGGTTGCCCGGCCGAAGCGTCTTCCAGACTTCAGATGGTGTTGGCCTGCGACGAGCTTTAGATCCGTCTCGGTTTCTCTCAACAGGCTTCTCTTCTAATTTGGATGCTACTTCCTTTGCTAGCTCCGTGGCCCCAGTAGCTTCACCGACTTCCCCACCGGGGCCTCCACCCCAACGCTCTTTTGCTGTCCACCATTTGCCTTCGCCACCTCTTCGTTCTGTCTTTCCTTCTCTAGCTCTTTCTTGTGCCAGTAACAACAGCCCACCCAGTTCTCGCACAGCATCAAGCGTAGACTGGGCGTCTAGCCTTCCCGTTGCCCCAAAGTTGACGTCTGCTCTGCACTGTACACCCAGTACTGGGCCTTCCATGCAGCCCTGTCTTGCTTTCGTCCGGTCCTGAGGCTGTCGCCAGGCCACAGAGCTCATACGTACAGGAAACCGAACCCGCTCGATAGTAAGGACGGGAGGTCGGCGATGTGGTGACAATGTTACACCAAACGCCCACGCAATGGGCTCCACGAAAGCCCGCACGCAGTCGATACGATACTGGTCGGGCATTTCAGCACCATTGCCGATCCGGTATCCACGGTAAGAGCCGTTTGAAAGATCAAGTGGCTTACCCTGAGACTCCATGTTTGCAGCCCAGGGGGTCTTGGGTGGTGCAGCCCTAGCCGGAATCACCCGACTCTGGACAGTCGGCAGCTTGTCTGCATTTGGTGATGTATTACTGGGGCCATTAATGTTTTGGGCCTGAACTGAGGTTTCTTCTTTGGCAGTCTCTGCGGTTTTGGCCTTTTTGCGGGGCTCGTCACCGGTATCTCGTTCAGCTTCCTGGCCCTGGTCTTGGGTGGGATCAGGCAAGGACCTTGAAGATGTTTCCTCACATTCATTGGCAGCCTCTGGGACGGGTGGAAGATATTCATCTAAAGAAGTGTCCCAATAATACGCCAAGTTATCCAGGCCTTCCCAGAATTTTCGAAAGTGTGCCAGCCGGAGCGGCGTTTGGCCTGTATTGCTTTTACGTGTAAGTGAGGTAAATGCATCGGTATTCGTAAACAGCAATTCTCTTGCGCGAGCATGGAATTCTCTTTGATCGGGTAACTTTCTCCCATTGCATAGAAGCGTAGCCATGGACTCTGGAGGACCGGGCACAGTTTCAGGGGACTCTAACCAAGACGTTGGGGGCAGAAACGCATCTTTGCCGTGTGGCAACGACGATAACAAGGTTTCGATATCGCATTCGGGCTGAAACGTGACATTGAGTAATGCCAATGTGTCTTTATCGACATCAGATGGCTTTCTCAAGCGTAGAAAGTGCCGAGAGATGCTGACACCTGGCTGGGTCCATGAATCTGGCGGTTTGGAGTTTGACGGCTCGGGCGGCTGGAGAACGGGAAACTTGATTGGCGTGGGTTTCGACGGCGGCGTCCTTTGTTTCTGCGTATCATGTTGCCCCGCAAGTAGGTTTCCTATGGCCGGATAGCCCTATATCAGCGACTATATTGCACGTGCACACATGTCTCAGACGAAACACGTGTGGAATGTCCACGAACAGGCCAGAGGAAAACTCGACGAACCCCCGTTCTGCACAGGAGTTCACGGCGGAGTATAAGCCGTTGGGAGGGAACAGCATTGAAACATAATGCATATATGGTCGGGGTGTTCTCGCAATGCGGAAGGCGATAGAAGGTGACTTGAAACGCGCAATCATGACCTCGGCATACGACATGGCGGGGCTCACGATGGAAGAGGGAGATGGAGAGCGAGCGAAGAGGACACTTACCGCTGAAACTAAACATGACTGCTTGCTTGTGCTACAGGCGTTGCAAGGACCCGGGCAAGGTGTGCGAATCGACGATGCAGAGTCGAGGAGGTCGAGCGAGATAGGTTGCGGATAGCCAGACTGGACGTGCGCACCCAGCGTAGCAGCGTCTCCACACGGCGCCAGCTCCTCTCTGCCATGACCGTCGACGAGCGCGCGGTAGCGCTGCGCTGCATAAGGGTCGACTCCAACTGACAATCGAATTGAAACCTTTGACAGCTGCTATGCTGAAGATAGACTCAGCGTAGGCTGTTCGGCAGACTCAGCCTCTCCATGCGCTAGCCCCCTGACAACTGTCAGGTGCAGCTAGCTTCACTCGAATCCATCAACTGAATCGCATCAGGGCTGGGGATGTGCTTCACTGATACCTGTACAGATATGTGAGGCCCAAAGCGCTCGAAAGCGCTCCGTGTTCGAGACGTCGGAGCTGCATCACGTGCCTCAGTCCTGCCTCGCACCTTGGCTGCTAAGCCTCTAGAAGCCTCATCCCTCACGGCACCGCCCGACAGTCATCACTCGCACTAATGTAAACATCGCGATGATTACCACAATGGCCAATAACCTGGCCTGTCCGTTACCACGCTTCTCGGATGAGACGGCCCTGCCGCTGCTGCCCTAGACTGCGAGGCCTACTACGCTTCATGTGTGTTGCTCGAAGCGCAACATGAAGCCGCCCACGTTTCAGAGGAATACAAGCGCACCACACGCTGCCAACGGTTGACCACCTCCCGGTCGGTCTTCGAACATCTGCTAACATTTCTCTTCGATATTCTTTCATTCAGCATCGCGTTATCGCTGTGTTCAGTTTCCCAGTTTAATATGCTCAAAGCGCTCACGGCGCTTGGTGTCTCTTCTCTTCGTGTCTTTTTTCGAGCCTTTGACGGCCTTTCTCTCCATAAGCCGTTGCTTGTATGGCCTCCCCGCCAGATTCCATCACGACCGTAAGCGGGAGACGATGTACTCGTTCCCGCGCTCGAACTGCGGTCATATCCACATCAACAACTATATCCACTTCGACTACACAAGAGCCAGCGGCCGTGAATCCTACCGAAGCCACTTCATCTGCGTCTGCTGAGCAACCACCACCACAACAACAACAACAAACCACGACTGCGGCAGCATCCTCCTCTCCACCGCCGCCGTCTCCCCCACCTCCTCTCCCACCAGCCGAATCTTCAACAACCACGCAACCGGCGGCAGTAGTAGCACCACCAGCACAGCCATCTAGCGCTGTACCTGCACCGCCTCCACCATCACCATTACCGTCGACAACAGATGTAGTGGCAACTTCGGTGACAGGTACGATAATTTCGGTTCCTACACCCCTATCGCGGATAACACCGCTTGCTTTTGCTTCCCCCAGCCCAGCAGCGGCTTCTCTAAGCCCAGAAGCGCCGTCCCCCGTTCCAGTAGTAGCAGTGTCTCCAGCAGCAGCGGTGGAAGCAGCAGTGTCTTCAGTGCCAGCAGTAGTGTCTCCAGTTCCAGCAGCAGCGTCTCTGGACCGAGCAGCAACGTCTCCAGACGCAGCAGCGACGTCTTCCGACCCAGTAGTTGCTGCTCTAGTTGCTGCGCCGGCGTCTTCAAGCCCTATAACGACGTCTCTGCAACGGATACCAGAAGCCAAAGTGACGGCTGCTGCTGTGCCATCGGTGGAGACTTCGCAGCCCCCACCTATCCCCACTATTGTAGCACCAGCAGCAGTAGCAATCAGCTCTGACATAATACCAGTAGCGGACCCCACTTCACTCCTGGCGAGCTTGAGTCCGCCAGCTCTCTTTACACCACCGGCAGTATCCAATGCTCCGTCATCAGTACAATCGAATGCTGCACTCCCTGCCGTAACTGGACCAATACCACAAACATCGATTACAAACTCGCCTGCCCTGGCAGACCCAGACCAGTCATCCTCCTCCCGGTTTAGATCAAACCCCAAACCCACACCCACACCCTCAGGGGGCGTAGCTGGAGGTTTAATTGCACCTGATCAGGGATCCAGTTACGACGGCCCCCTGACGTTAAGTGGCGGTGCAAATGCAGGAGGAATCATTGGGGGTGTTTTCGGTGGCTTAGCTGTTTTGGCTTTGATTAGTACCCTACTGTTCTTTTGTTTGCGGAAACGAAAGCCGAAGCCAGTAAGATGGAATGAAAAGAGGCAAGAGGGCCCAAAGCTTGTGACAAAGCTGAAGGCGATACCCACTGGAGTGACATCGATTTTTGCGAGGATGAAGGGAAACCAGGCTGGACCGATGAGCAATCCCTATCAACGACATCAGGTACACAACAGTGTTGGCTCGTTATACTCCAGAGAATCCAATGGTCGCGCGCGATCGATCAGCGAACCACAAGGCTTTTTCAACCGTGCAGGGTCGGAGAGAAATGAGGAAAATGGCCAACGCAAGAAGCCAAGCAGTCTCTCAGGTTTCCGATTCCCTGGAATTCAGGAGGACACGGGTTCACCCAATCCATTCGCCGATCCGAATCCAAACACGCTTTTGGTACTCAACCCAGACCCGCGCAGTGCGCCTGTTACACCACGCGTTCCTCCGCCTACTGTCGAGCCGGAAGCCAGGGATCCGTTTGCGTCTATCCTTGACCCACCGGGAGCGCAACCGGCATGGGTAGGAGTGTCAAATCACAGCCATCAACGCACAATGAGCTCATTCTCTACACTAAGCTCTAATGCTGCACAATCGTTGTACGGCACTTACGACCCGTTCCGGGAACTATCCAAGGTACCACCGCTACCCACACAGGCGGTCTTATCGAGACATACTCGCAATCGCTCTTCCATGGCAGTGCCTGGCTTTGACGCGATGTCGACTTTCGCGTCGCGGGATTCCGACATGTATTTCGGTGAGCCTGGGCCCAGCAGACGTGGCACGAACATGTACACGCCAGTCACGGGCACCTACCGAACAGTTCGGCAATCTGATCCGTTTGATCTTGACCGTCCTGAAGTTCTTCGGTTCGGCAGCTTGGGCAACAGGAAAGATTCATTCGGAAACCTGAGCCGACAACCATCCCGGAGAGAACGAGTCAGCAGCATCGGCAACTGGCCAAACGGCGGCACCACTGCAGAAGTCGCAAACACATACGGCCTGTTCCCGCGAGAAGGTACAAGACAGCCCTCCTCCTGGGTACCACCACCCATGCCACCAGCACCACTACAACCCAACGGAGGAAAATTTTGATGATAGACGGGGAAGAAGCGAGAAGACCTTACGACTAGAAAGGATCAATAATGAGACTACCCCGGCGTTCTTTTTTTTTCATTTTACATTTACGATCATTACAGACATCACACAGCGATGGCAGGAAGTATTCCGCGGGACCATCCATTCTCTTTTTGTGTTTTTACCACCACACTTTTTTTGGTTTTGTAGCACAAAACCTTGATGCCGAACTTTTTCACTGGGGCGAGCCCCGAGAGAGCGAGCTTTTTATGGTATTTTTTTTAGCATCATCGCCTTGTACACTATATTTCCATGTCACAGAACGCAGACGCCAGTTGCTGTATGTAGTTGTCCTTTTTTACACTGTAGTAGTAGCAGAAATACCCCTTCAATCTTTGATACCATAGCACCAGAATTTGACAGAGATACACCTTACATCATCATCCCCATTTTCTTCTCCTTGGTGACCGCATACGCCTGAAGAATGTCATCATCGCACGACCATCTCATGAGCCTTGGCTGTCGAGCAATCATGCGCTGACAAAACCACCGCCGCCTCACCCTGAGGCAGAAAGAGGCATGAAACCGGGTAAGCCCCCCAGAATGGGGGTGACAAATCTGCAGCACCTCAGGCTTCGTTGGTGGCAAAGGAGGTCCAGGTTGCAACAGCAACACTACTTGCATGGCGAGCTTGTGTGTGAGAAGTTGAGCATGGTAGGTGCCTGAATGTTCGCCTGAAAGGCCGGGTATCGGGAGGAACGCACGGGTAGGGGGACAATGTGTTTCTGGGATCCGAGCTGACGGGTTGGAAGCCGAGATGAGATGAGATGAGTATGTTAAGGCATGAACTCCGATGGGAAATTAGCGGGGGAAACAGAAATGGGAACCTAGTGTGTTCTTGGTAGAGAAACATTAATCTACCGGATCATTACGCTACCGTTGGTGAATCCAAACGCGAATCAAACTAAGCTCAGCTAAAGGTAGATACCAAGGAAAGATACAGTCTGACTACCTACCATATTGCAAAGAACAACGACGCCTGCATACCGGATATACGCGTGAAAAACACAATAAAACAAGACAAACATAAAGCAATGAATGAGAATCAATCTGTGGTTACCCAAACCAACGCCGTGATAAACAAACGCCCAACCACGCCGATCAACGCCACAAGAAATGTAACCTAAAAGCCTCAAAGCCAACGTTCCATACTGCCAAAGGGTGGATACTTCAGATTGCTCGCTCTGTTCCTAACCCATCGCCCTCCCCCTGGCGCCGCACTGCTACCGACCGTACTACTGACACAGTCCCAATCCCATGGCACCTGTTTACCGAGAACTTCGTAACCGGCTACCCTGCGCAGTCTAGCACGGCTCTGGTGTTGTCTGTGAAGGACTGCACGTGTGGTTTGTCTGGCGCCAGGAAGAGGAGGCGAAGGCATAACAACCTGGGTGTGGTAGGTTGGTTCCTGGGTTGGTAATGTAGGCGGAGGTGACGACAGTGGAGACCTGGTAGGTTCGCGAGGCTGGAGGGACATGGGTGGTGGAGAAGAGGATCTCCTACGTCCTGGGCCGCCAAGTTTGATTTCCGTTACGTTCTCAAAGTCAAAGCCTAGGGCGTTGTGACCGTGTAGGTGTGGATGGTGGTGGTGGTGTCCATGGATGGGATGGGAAAGCAATGGATGGATGTGTGGGTGGCGGTGTTGATGTTGGAGATGGGGGTGTAGAAGCGCGTGGTTGTCTTGTATGTCGAGTGACATGTTGGGCATCCTGACACGTGTGTCGGTGAAACGAGGGGAGGTTGGGCTACGATGCACGCGCACGATGTCCTCCACACATGAAGAATTTGAGGTACGATGAGCTTGTCGCTTCCCTTTGGCGGGCGTGAGGGTGAACCAGCACATGACTACTACGCGGGGGCGTGATTGCGACGCCAGAGTCGATGCGGGTTGGGAGGGGACTGAGGCGTGCTGGTGGAGCTATACGGTGGTACGCAGACCGAGAGAAGGCGGGGGTGTAACTTGAGGGTGGTCGTGAGGGGTGATAATATGAATGAGAAGATTCGTGACGGGGCATTCAGATGTATGTGAAAGAAGACCAGACAATGACTACGAGGCACGGGCAGATACTTAACCCAAACAGAAACACAGTGTACGTATGATCAAGGGCCCTCTCTCAGCTCCATCTTATCATGGCGTCCTTGGACGTATATACCACCGCCCCCGAGAGAGCCCTCTGCGCCCTCCGCAGTCATTCGCTACCATCACGCACGCAGCGCCGGTACTGCACGCGGGCCGCACCTGTACATATAGAGAAATGGACAAATGAGACAGGGTGGGTGAGAGCGGTGCCTGCATGATTGTGCTGGTGCCTGCATATAGGTGATGCACACTTTTCTTAGGGTCCGTCAGGTCGAGTGACGGAGGCTGGTGAGGTGTGGAGATGCGCGTGGGCAGGCGCGATGTCTTGAATGACCTTGAGTTTCAACGGCGGCCATGTGACGCTTTCAGCCGCAACACCTGTTTTTCATCTTACGAGGAAGGAATGTAAAGGATCTGGTGACGTATGTAGGGACGTAATAGAGCCGTCCGTAAGTCTTTCCTCTCTTGTTTTTCTTGTACGATGCGCCCACGTCACAGTGGTTTTTGTGTTATCCCGGAGGACCATGGCGGTGCAGGAGTGTATACAAAGACTTTTGTCCTTCTATAGTCAATAAGATACCGTTTTCCCTTCTCTTTCTTGTGATGATATCTGTAATTAATGCGACAAGCAGTGATATGTATGAAAACGTGCAGTCTTGGATCAGACTGTCCCTTCACGCATGACGAAGGCGGGGAGAGTAACACTAAACAAGGCAGACGTAAACATACTTCCAACACGACCCGAAGAAGCTGTATTCAACATCATATCAGGGTTGATAGTCAAAAGACCATTTACAGATTTGTAGAGTTGTAGTGCTGTTAGCGTTAGTGCCTTCAAGGACAGCGACAGGTGAAGGCAACAGCTAGGACGCGGCTGGGCTTGGCATTACCGACAACGCCGGAGCTTGGAGCTCACATCACCACTCTAGACCACCAACACGACCCCACGGCGACTGCTTCAATTCGAGACGTTCTGAGCCACCGCCAACAACACACAGTCGCAGCCATGGATTCATTAGTCTCGCAGTACAGCCGGCCCGCGTACACGGAGGAAGGCCCATCAGAGGATGAGCAACTGCAGCTCCACAGCGGCACCCCAGAGCTATCCCTCAAGTTTGCCCTCCCACCAGTCGCCCAGGTACGCCCTATACGCTCTGTGTAGTTGGGATAATTTTGGATACTAATAAGAACGACAGTCAGCATCATGGCTACGCGCAATGACGGACGACTACTCCAATCCCAACTGCCCCATCAAGATTGCCCACGGTACCACAACGCTCGCGTTCCGTTTCAAGGGCGGCATCATCGTAGCCACGGATTCGCGAGCCACGGCTGGAAACTGGATAGCGAGTCAGACGGTCAAGAAGGTCATTGAGATCAACAACTGCTTGTTGGGGACCATGGCTGGTGGCGCTGCTGTACGTATATACAAGATTATACTACAAAGCGAGAAGGATATGTATTGACATATAACAGGACTGTCAGTACTGGCTCGCATACCTAGGAATGCAATGTCGCCTTCACGAGCTCCGACACAAGCGCCGTATCTCCGTCGCTGCGGCGTCCAAGATCCTAGCCAACCTGGTCTACTCGTACAAGGGCATGGGCCTGAGTATGGTGAGTTCTTCGTCCTCTATCCCATTTGAGCTTTTTCACTAACATGCTAAACCCCAGGGAACCATGTGCGCTGGTGTAACCCCGCAAGAAGGCCCCGCTCTCTACTACATCGACAGCGACGGCACACGTCTCGCTGGCAACCTTTTCTGTGTCGGCTCCGGTCAGACATTCGCATACGGTGTGCTTGATGCATCCTACAAGTACGAACTTGAAGACGACGAGGCGCTCGAGCTTGGCCGAAGGAGTATCTTGGCTGCTACTCACAGAGATGCCTATTCGGGTGGTTTCATCAACTTGTACCATGTCAAGGAGGATGGTTGGGTCAAGCATGGCTTCAATGACACGAACCCCATCTTCTGGGATACCAAGCTTAATAAGGGCGAGTTCTCAAACGTTACTAGCGCCTTGGATTAGGTGTGTGATGGATTGGAGAAAGACTTGCTCAGTGAGACATGCAGTGGACATATGCTACTCTACCAGTCATGAATGAATAGACACGCTTCAATGAAATGACCCAACACATACATGTCAACCTTTTCGAATCTGCATATGAGATGGCTAGTGAATTTTTGAACAATATCTTCATTTGCTTGCTTGCATTATCACAGCAGCACTATAACCCCCCGACTGGCACCCTGAGAAACTTAAAACACATGCAAGAAATATCAACAACTGCATGTGCGCAGTCCATGCTGGCACACACATGCAAACGCCAGCTCACCCCCATCCTGTAAAAGACGAACCCCCGCAAAGATGATGTGAAAGGAAATAAAAAGATGTGTGACATTTACACTACTCCCAGTGTTGCGTGCGTGCATACGTGCCCGTCTGCCTGCCAAACTTGGGTATAAGCAAGCAAGGTCCCCATTCCCCTTCCGGATTATTTAAGTGTTAAAAAAGAAAAACGCCGCGCGAACCCCCCCCCCCCCCCCCATGCGCTGGCTGTAGTGAAATGAAGAAGAAGATACCGATAAAGATTGAAAAGATTTTGTAGTGGAAAAAATAAAGAAACAAGAACAAAACGCCCTTTAGCCATGAATGGTAGGTAAGAAGTCCACATATAAAAGAAAAGAGCTGTAAGCCCAAAGGAGGACAGTGGCAGACGACGGGGACAATGACAACGATCATCACCGACTCCTTCTCCTCAAACCCAGATCCTCTTGTTGAAGTTGCTTGATGAGGTCGAAACTCGCTTGATCGAGATTCGGATCAATCATACCCAACATACCCATATTGATGCCCACGCCCGTGCCCATACTCATGCCGTGTTCGAGTTTGATACCGTTGCTATCGGGGCGTCGGCCACCGGGCGTTGATTTTGGGGTTTTGCTGTTGCGGCCGCCGCGGGAAGGGGTGCGGCTGGCTTTGCGGGCCGAAGACGAGTTTTGTTGTTGTTGCTGGGCGCGGGCTTTGTAGGAGGATAGGGTAGGTGTGATGGGCGGAGGAGGGAAGTCAGAGTTTGTGGTAAAGTTGTTGTAATTGTTTGTTGCGGGCGAGGTTATGTAGGGACTGTTATTGTTGTGGGTAGTTGTGGTTGTGGTTGGGGTGGCAGCTGAGATTTGTCGGGGTGAAACTGGTGAAGAAGGATGGCGGACGGCGTGGTTTTCTGCTGTGGGCTTTGATGCGAAGCCGTTTGTGTGGTGTGAAGTGTTATTGTGGGGTGGGGGGCCAGGAGTAATGGCCTCCACGCTGGGACCGTGTGCTGCGCCATTGTGTCCTGTGTGCTCAATGCCTTCCATGAGCATGGGATCGGTTGGCGGATACTCGACTGACGACATGACGGAGTCCCCATTTCCTTGATAGGAGTGTGCCATATCCATGTTGTTGTAGTCCCCATTTGTATATGCTTGGAGGGCAGGGTCGACGGGTACTAGATCCTCGTTCTCGGGGCTTTGATCGAGTGCTTGCTGGGCGGAATAGGCGATATCCTGGAGGAAAGAAGAGCCACCACTAAACTGGTTTGGAAGAGAATGACGTCCGTGCATGTCGCCGTTCAAGTATTCATCGTCGTATGAAGATTCGTGTCTCATCCGTTTCGACCCTGTCCCAGAGTCCTCGTCGCTGACACGTCGCTTCTTGGAGGCTGATCCTCTCGGAATAGGGATCTCGTTGGCTTTGATTGGATCGACGTTGCCGTATTCGTCATGTATACAACGACGCTACGATGGTTAGCCATTGTCTTCATTCAATATGGTCATTCTTACCTTGCTCTTCCGGCAGTCAGCACAAGCCTTGACTCTCCCAGATTTGAGCGCATATGGGTCTCCGTTTACGTCGGCCATGATAGGACCACCGTTCACCGGCCCGCTGGCAACATTTGATAGGCTGTCCGCGATCGAATGATCACTCAGTCGACGTTTAACAGATATACCATATGAGCCAGAAAGGTCGATGGTGTGCATGCCTGGCTTCGATGTGTCAATGAGCTCATCTTTGTGCTTGCATCGTATCCGCCGCTTCCTACAGGCGTCACAAGCAACACGTTTTGGCCCAAGCTGTGACGTCTTCGGTGTTGTGATGTGTGGGTTGTTTGCTGACGGGCGGAGAAATCCGGTCAGTGGACCAGAAGTGACAGGTACCATGTCGAAGTTGTTGAAGTTCTCCACCTCCACAGGAGGCGAAGGCTCTGGGACCACATCAGACGCCTTGATACGAGCTGAAGACCGCTCGGCTGTTCCTCGGAGGGCTTCATGAATCGACTCTCGCTCCAGTCTCTTCACCTGAGCAGCACTAAGCTTCTTCTCGGTAGTCTCCGTTACTTCCGGAAGAGAAGCATCGGAAAAGGCCCAGGTGAGAATGGTCTCGTTCCCACGCTTCCAAGCAATCCACATTGCAAATTGTCGAGCTAGTACAAGAGGCTCGCCGTGGCCTTTCGGTATTGACTTATTGACAGCAGTCCGGGTCTTCTGTGGGACGTCGATTTTGCCCTCGACGATGAGAACAGTTCTCCAGATGTAGTTAACAAGGTCGGTGAGCCCCTCTAGCTCATGTTTGGAGTAGTATCGCCTGTTGTAGTTCTGTGTGCCGAGATGTGAGTTGTGCCCAAATCTATCAGGTTCGCAGTAGATGGGAATGGACCGCTTGAACTGCTCGCCACTCTGCAGGAGCTCTTGAACCGGACCAGGAACGGGATCCTCTTCCAGGTATTTGATGACTGTCAGCCACATGATCTTCTGGAAGTAAGGATATCGAAACTGCAAAGCGACTTTGGTGTTCTTCTCAATCTCTAAGATCTTGATCTGCATGCCATAGTGTATGCGGGTCAGGAAGTTGCCTCCAATGACGAGACTGTCTTCGGGTGTCCAGACAGCATGAATCCAACCAGAGGGGATCAGCATCGTATCTCCAGGGTACAGGTCGACTCTGTAGCACTCTTTGACTTGTTTGCCGAGCCAGTCGTGACCTTGATTCGGCGAAAGACACCAGTCCTCGTACTTCTTGAGATTCTGCTTTGTAGGCGGTATGAAGAAGAAGACCTTCTTGCCCTTTACAATGTGGTAGTAGACTGAAGAACCACCAAAGTCGATGTGGAAGTCGGTGAAGCAGTCGGCGACGGACATCAAGCAGTAGAACTGTACTGGTGGTGGAGCAAACTTGTCGTCTTCCCGCCATACAGAGTCTTGGAGATCCATTTCGCGAACGGCTTTGGGCCGTCGAATGAGCTTCCCTAACCGGCTCCGGGACACCTCCAGACTGATGACGTTTCGCACGGGCTTTTCGCCTTGTTGTTCGTAGTAGTCGGCCCATTTATTCATTGTCCATTTCTTGCCTTCGCCCTCCTGAGCCTTGACATCGATGACAGGCACAGTTTCGTTTGGGCCATATAGTTCTGCCACGCGCCGGACGGTCAATCCCTGGGGTATAACCATGTCGAGGCTGTCCTGGCCATCGTCCGCAACCGTCTCGTATTCGAATTGTAGTTTTGAACCCTCTGACTGTTGGTCGTTGTCCTCCACAAAGTCGTCCATCACTTGATCCTCAGCCAACGTCCCAAGCCGAGGATTCATGTCGCCAGGTATTACGATAGGTTCTTTAAACCCATTCATCTTCTCGAGAAAATCGCCGGTGATGAGCTCGGCCGGCACGCGCGCAAACATCTCGGGAGTAAATTCGATATCCCCATTCTTGAACGCCGAGATGTAATGGTGTTCAGGGTTATCGTCCGACGTCTTCAACACGCCTTCGTTTAGACCAGCGTAGTCAACAGTTGTGTGGGCTCTGACGGATTTACGAACCTCTGGACCATGTTAGAACTATAAGCCCAATGTGCGTCGGTAGACCTACTCGTTGTTTCACCAAACTTGGGTCTACACGGTTCGCAGTAGAATTTGTTTACCTCCCGCACCTCTCGCTCGCTGTTGAAACCAGCGCAAGGGTAGTGGTACCATTCTTTGCAGCCATCACATCCGATCCACTGCTCGCCATCACCGACTTTGATTTCTGATTCGGAGGAATTACAGGCGGCGCAGATGAGTTCTGGTTCGGTTGTAGCGTTCGCTGGCTGGCTGACTGTATTGACGGACGCAGATGGAACTGCTTGCGCACCAAGAGGAAGTGATTTGGCACGCGAATCCATCGGCGGTGATTGGTTGTTCGGGAGTGGTAGATTGGGTGATGAGAAGGAGTGGCGACGGGCTTGTGTGGGTGAGGTATGCGCGTATTCGGCAAGGGTGGCTGGGGCGAGTGAGCTTTGCGGTGGGACTGTTGCCGACTGCTCGGTGGGGAGGCTCAAGGGCGATTGGGTTTGGTCTGAGGCGCCAGCGGTGCTTGCAGAAGGCGTGTTTTTTGGCTTGGGTGTCGTCTTCTTTCGTCTGCTCGACGTTGCGGCTGCAGTGGAGTTACGAGCTCCCCGCGCCTTTCCTTTTGGCCAGCCCTGCTGCTTTTTTGCCTTTGGCTCTTCTGGTGGAGCAGAAGATTGCATTGCCGGCGGTGCAGCTGTGTGTGTTGCTTCGTCGGAAGGTGTCTGTGTTTGCGCGGTCGGGTCGGTCGGAGCTACGTCAGGCGATGTCTCTAAAGGGAGTTTCATCTCTGCAGCGGCGGACAGGGTATGCTGGACATTGGTATCAGACGGTGGCAAAGGTG